AGAACAAAACTATGATGTCGGCAATCGGGAGCTGTTGGCAGTCCGGTTGGCTTTGGAGGAGTGGCGCCACTGGTTGGAGGGGGCGGCAGTACCCTTTCTTGTGTGGACTGATCACAGGAGCCTGCAGTACATACAGACGGCCAAACGTCTAAATGCCAGGCAGCCCTGCAGGGCTCTGTTTTTTGGGCGCTTCAACTTCACCTTGTCGTAAAGACCAGGCTCCAAAAATTCCAAACCTGATGCCTTGTCTCGCTGTTTTGGTTCTTCAGCAGAACCTTCCCCTCCCGATACCATCATATCTTCCAGATGTGTGGTGGGGGCGATCTCCTGGGGAATTGAGGAGCATGTCAAACGAGCCCAGGCTGGGGTTGAGGTGTCCAGTAAATGCCCAGCGGGTCTGCTCTTTGTTCGTGATGCGGTTCGCACTGCCGGTCTCCGGTGGGGCCACTTTTCTAAAATCTGCTGCCACCCAGGGGTGAGGAGGTCGCTGGCTGCAATCCGCCAGCGGTTTTGGTGGCCCACCATGGCTGAGGATATTCGTCGGTTTGTGGGGGCATGCTCGATCTGTGCTCAAACCAAGTCCTCCAATTCTCCATCCATTGGTCTGTTACAACCCCTCCCCATTCCTTCCCGCCCCTGGTCACATATTGCCATTGACTTCGTGGTAGTCCTCCCTCCATCAAATGGCAATACAGTGGTTCTCATTGTAGTGGATCGCTTTTCCAAGGCAGTCCACTTCATTCCTCTTCCTAAACTTCCTTCAGCCAGAGAGACTGCTCGGGAGGTCGTGGACCACGTCTTTTGGATTTATGGTCTTCTGGAGGACGTGGTCTCTGACAGGGAGCCTCCGATTGTTTCCCATTCCTGGAGGGAGTTCTGCCGGCAGATTGGATCCTCCACCAGTCTGTCATCAGGCTTCCACCCACAGACCAATGGCCAGACCGAACGTGCCAATCAGGATCTCGGCCGAATGCTCTGCTGTCTGGCGTCCCACAACCCCTCATCCTGGAGTCAACAGCTCACATAGGCAGAATATGCCCATAACTCATTGCTGGTATCTTTGACTGGTCTTTCCCCGTTCATGTGTTGTCTGGGATATCAACCCCCTTTGTTTCCTTCCCAGGGCTCTGAAGCAGCCGTCCCCTCGGTCCAAGCATACATTGACCGTTGCAGACGCACCTAGGGCCAGGGAAGCATTGCTTCGGGCCAGGGGACGTACGAAGGCTGCAGCAGACCGTCACCGTAGGCAGGCTCCCAGGTATGTCTGTGGGAAACGGGTGTGGTTATCAACCAAAGATCTACCTCTTAAGGCAGGAAATGATCAGCAGGAAAATTGGCCCCTAAATTTATTGGGCCCTACCCCATTAGTGAGATCATGAGCCCGGTGACTGTCCGCCTTCGGCTGCCCTTACACCTCTGTCGTGTACACCCTGTCTTTCATATTTCCAAAATCAAACCTGTTTTATGTTCCCCCCATTCCCCTCATGTGTCTTCCCCTGTCCCTCCCCTTGTTATTGACAATATCCCAGCCTTTAGAGTTTAAAGGATCCTTTAGGCCAGACACCGAGGACGGGGATTTCAATATCTAGTTGATTGGGAGGGGTATGGTCCTGAGGAGAGGAGTTGGGTCCCGGCCCAGGACATCCTGGACCCCTCGCTGATTAAGGAGTTCCATCATCGCCAGTCTCTCTCTACCTCGGGCACGCCAAGTGGCGTGCCTGGGGGGAGGGGTACTGTCAGGACACTGGCTTGATATTTCTCTTTATTTCTCTCTCCCTGCTTTTCATTCTTGCAGCGTGCACTCAGCTGATCATTATTACGAATCAGTGCGCACACGGCTTGCTGCACCTGTTACCGGTCTCCATTAATTTCCTTACTATTTAAGCTCTCCTTTTCCCACTTTCTGGTCGCTAGTGTGTCCTGTCATTATTCAGGCTATCTCGCTACGTTATCTTGATTCCTGTCATTGTTATGCATTACTTCATGTTCTGATTCTGTTTTTCTCTTCTGCCCAGTTTTTGCTCGGTTGCCTGTGTTTTTTCTGATTCATTTTGGATTCTCCCCGGCCAGCCACCTACCTTTGACTTCGCCTGTCCGACGCTGAACTTGACTTTCCTCTGTTATCCCATCTGCCTCCCGATCGATGCTCGCCTGCCTGACCTCTCTCACGCCCGCCGATTTGGAAACTGTTGCTGTGTTACCTTTCGCTCTCGCCGAGCGATCTCATCATTTTCATTTGAGTCACTGTTTTGAAGAGTTAATAAAATCCTTTTGTGTTAACAGCATTTCCGTTTGGATCCGTCTCTCTGGGTGTGACAGCTACTATGACAGTGATTTCCTGTTTCGCAAAAGTTGCAGACACTTTTACGAATTACAAACTGTTTTATTGACGCAAAAATAATTTAAGTCATTAAAACTTGTTTTTTACACCGCTTAAAAAACTTAATCCTTAATACTTAAGCCTGCTATAATAAAAAAATTTACTCTAAAAGTATAACTAAATAAAATGCTAAATTATAGTGGAAAGCCCAAAGCAAAAGTGGAAAGTTATTCCATTTCATATTTAACAGTATATTATGAATTGTATGTAATATTTATCACATGGTATAATGTATGTTGTATTTAATATTAGTCAGATGACGTAATTACGCTGCTGTGCCCTCAGCCAATTGTTGCATTGCTGATCATGATTTCAATGTGAAACATCGCAATGGACGATGGTGTTGTAGGCAGAGGTGAGTTAATTATTTTTGAATAATTAATTATTTCATAATGAATTAATTATTTGTAGCCTACCGTTTCAACTACCTGACCCGCATGGTCTTTGTTTTACCCATAATCAAGTCATAAATAAATATTCGGTACACACAAATTACCACTTGTCAATCACTTTTTCCCCAGGAGGTTGGTCAGTAAAAGATTTGTACAACCAACAGTATCTGAGGTTTTCAGATGCCATACAGGGGTACATCCTTGATAAACTGTCCAATGTGCACTGCTCTCTGGAGCTCAGACGAGCGCACGACTGTGTTTGTGTGGCTGTGTGTGTGTGTGTGCTTACATGATGTGCTTTTGCAGCGGACGAAGGGCTGTTCAGAAATGCTAGGTGAAACACGGTGTGGATGTGGATCATTTTCATTCTAAAATGCCATTTTTAACACTAAGACGTATTAGTGTAAACGGGGCCTAAGTGTGTATTTTTCGCGAGCGGATTTGCGAAAGGGGTGGGGCGGAGGATCAGCGTTGCTGACTCAGCATCGTGTTGTCTAATTGTCATGCAACATGGTCTGACATAAAGAGAAAGCTAAAAATAATGCAAAAAACACATACAATTAACAAAAATGGTAGAAAGCAAAAGCTGAATCCCCAACATTTTAAGAGAATTAGTAAAATAAATTTTTACTCCCAAAAACAGGACATATCTACAGAACAAAGATGTATAGTCACCCTATATTTCACTGCTAAAATTCCTACCTCTGACTGTCCAGACACTTTTAGATGTGAACAAGAAACTCTGAACAAACTCATGAGAAACTTTGCTGTTCCAATGGTCATCTAAATACACAGTAGATAATATATAAAATTTAATATTCAAGGTTAAAGATCTGTTGTAGGGTTTGACACAGAAGCACATTGTTGTTCACTGAGGTCATAAGATGACAGCAACAGGAAAAACAAATGAGGAAAGCTAAAACCAAATTAGCAATAAACCACAGACCAGGATGAGTCCACTGTTTTCTTGTTGAAGTATTCATGTATTGGAAGCTCTGATAAACCCGATAAGACATTCAAGCCTGTCAGATAATTATTTTATCTTAACTTTTCATTAGTCAACAGATTTCTTGTGTTGTTTATCATTTTGGTTTTATTGATATCAGTTTTGATGAAGCCTGTTTAAATTCTTGAAGAACATCTCAGTAGTCTGATCTCTTAAGTTGCATAGAGTACAGTAGTAAGTGTTAAGGTTGGAGAGATGTACTAGGACCCTGAACCATATTACCAGTCAAACAATGGAGTTACATGATTGGTTTACAAAATTGAATTAGTCAGGGACAGGGTCAGCACAATGAAGCTAGTGTAGCTGTCTAGGAACAGGAGATCCATTTGCATCATGTCTGCCCTCTGGGTGTAGACTGCAGTGTTTATCAATATAGTCACTTATACTTCATGTCTAACCTTCAGCTCATACCAGGCAAAAAAGCATTACAAATAAATCAGCTGATATTATGATACAGACCCAGATAAAATCTGGCCAGTGTTTTTTTTTTTCTTAATTAAGTTGTACATTCTTGATTATTGATATTGATTGACCCAAATGTCATGATGCAAATAAAGGGAAAATGGTGGAGTAAAAACACATATAGAGGAAGTGAAACATGAAACAGGGTTTTAGAATAATAAACAAATGTGATCTGAATGATGGATGAGAGCAGATATAGAAAAGTTAAAGTCGAAAACTGCAGACTGAGGACAAAAACACCACCTCTGAGGTAAGAACTACTTACATTTATAATGTTTAACTAATGTTGTCTTAATGATTGTAAGTCATGTTATGATCCTGTTTATTCAATGATTATTTTGAAATTAAATCAGTTGTTTAATGTTTCTTTCTCAGGAATGGCTCAAACTCTCTATTTCTCTCTTCTCCTCATTGGTGAGTGTGTTTGTACCAGAAGCCTGAACCATATTACAAGTCAAATACAAAGTTAATTGATTGGTTGACAAAAAAAAAAGTCTGATCAGGGGTCAGCACAATGAACCTAGTGTAACTGTCTTGGAATAGGAGATTCATTTGCATCAGCTCTGGGTTCTGGGTTTAGACAGCAGTGTTCATCAATATAGTCACTTATGCTTCATGGCTAAACTTCAGCTCATATCATGATTAACAAAACCATAAAAAAAACTCTTAGCCACCGTCATCGATCCAGATAATGTGCAAAATAATGTTTGTTTGTTTTTTAATTTTGTTGTACATGTTTCATGTTTACTAATACTGAATGACAAATGCCATGATGCAAATAAGGGTCTATAAAGGAAGTGAAACAGGGTTTTTAAATAATAAACAAATGTGATTTGAATAACAGATAAGGGCAGATATAGAATAATCACAGCCTGAAGCTGCAGACAGAAACAGACTGAAGACAGAAACACACCAGCTCTGAGGTAAGAAATACTCACATCTACAGTCTGTAATCCATGTTGTCTTGATGATTGTGAATCACGTTGTGATCCTGTTTATTCAGTGATTGTTTTAAAAGTAATTAAGTTTCTCAATGTTTCCTCCTCAGAAATGGCCCAGACTCTATATTTCCCTCTTCTCCTCATTAGTGAGTGTGTTTGTAGTTTTATTTATGGTTTATAGTTTCATTAGGTTTGACTGTTCTGAAAAGCATTTAAGCAAAGTGTCTCTCTCACAGCTCTCTGCTCCATATCTGAATGTGTTCAGCGTCAGTATCACTTTATAAATGAGAGGAAGAACTGGACTGAAGCTCAGAGATACTGCAGAGAGAAATACACAGATCTGGCCACTGTTGACAACATGAATGACATGATCCAGCTGAACAAGAGTTTGAATTATGGATTTGTTGAGAACATCTGGATTGGTCTTCATAAGACGAGTGTTTATAAATGGCATTGGTCTTCAGGTGATCCTGTGTCATTTCTGAACTGGGCATCTGGAGATACTGTCTACAGTGATCAGTGTACTGTTATGAATAATGGACAATGGATTGATGAGGCATGTAATAACTCTCGTATTTTCATCTGCAATAGCAGTGAGTACAAACCCTTACAGTAACAAACTTTCATTTAACAAAATAATATATTTTTAAAGTCAGATATACAGAAATTGTCAGGTCGTCGCAATATCTATCACAAACCTACTTTGAACCAAAAGGCAAAAAAAAGATATCTTGAATTATTGCCTTTCAAAGCCATAGTTTTAATAATTATATCAGTAATCATAATAATATTCATTATCAAAATGAACTAAAAAAAAACTCAACTCTTCATAACATAAGCTTTTCCGGTCATATGCAAAGCATAAAGTAGAATGTGACTAAACTGATACAATAATGTTTTAAATGATTTTCTTAAAGCCAGCACAGGACTGGTGTTTGCTGATCAGATGATGACCTGGAGAGCCGCTCAGAGTTACTGCAGACAGAATCAAATTGATCTGGTCACTGTGAAGAACCAGAATGAGAATCAACAGCTGGAGAAGTTCATTAATGACAGAAACTCATCTGGGTCTGAGGTCTGGATCGGTCTGTTCAGTGATCCATGGCAGTGGTCAGATCAGAGCGATTCCTCATTTAGATACTGGGCAGATAATTTCAAAGATTATGGAACCTGTGCAGCGATTCAACCATCTAAACAGGGAAAATGGGGTGACTACTTTAGTGTTTACAACCAGCTTCCTTTTGTGTGTCATGAAGGTGAGCAGATCCTCCACACACACTCAATCCATCATCAGCTCCAGATCTCTTAAAGTTGACTCTACATGTCTGACATGACAAATTCCTCCACAGTGTTTGTTCTGCATGTTGTTGTTGATCAGTCTCTCTCTAGTTTCTGCTTTGTTTTGTGTCCAGATAAACTGATTGTGATCCAGCAGAATCTGTCGTGGTCTGAAGCTCTGAGATACTGCAGACAGAATCATGTGGATCTGGTCTCGGTTCAGTCAGTGGAGATGCAGTATAAGGTGATGAACGTGGTTAAACTGGCGTCTACTGAGGCGGTGTGGTTGGGTTTACGTCACTCCTGTGCTTTGGGCATCTGGTTCTGGGTGAGTGGACAGACCGTGTGCTATCAGAACTGGGCTCCAGGGAACGGCACATCAGAGGAGGACTGTGAGCCCACAGTGAGATCTGGAGCAGTTCAGTCTGGAGGAAATCAGACCTGGATCAGCCGTCCTGAAACTGACAGACTCAACTTCATCTGCAGAAACTCCTCAGAGTGAAGAAGTAAGATGAGGAATGTGTTCATTTATCACTGAAGTAATAATTTTACATAAACTATTAAACTTTAGCAGGCATTAATGCATTATTATCTACACTGTAAAAAAGCTAGAGAAATGGTTAAAATATAGACACACCTAAATGTTGGTCATATAAATTACATAAAAAAAAAAAAAAAAACTGTTTTTTGTCCACATTTTACTCTAAATGGGGCTGAAATACTATTTTTAGTGTATTGTGGTTTAGGACACATCAAACTGACTGTCATGTGGTTTAATTGAATTAAGCTTTGATATCTCATATGTTATGCAGAATGATTTAAAATGTCAATGTTTTGTCACTTGTGAGTGAAGCTTCTGTGAACCCGTGTCTGTATAATTAATACCTGGCATTTGATCTTTTTCTTTTACATGAGTTTTCCTAATGTCTTGTGTTTTACCGTTCACTGTATGATGGTTATGGGCATGATGGCTAAATGTTTTTCACCTATAGAGTTGTCTTTATTATTTCTATCATGTCTTTATATTAAAATAACTGGTTGAATGTGAATCACTGAACATTATTTACCTCAGTGAAATTAAATAAAGGTTACTCTTTGAAAAAAATAATGTTGGTTATTAAAATATTTACAATACTTGTGTACTGAAATGTATCATCAACACCAGCTGAAATAAACATGTCAAACCAGCATTTTATCTCTTTTGTGTTTTCTGATATAAATTAAATGATATAATTTCATGAATGCGAGGCAGTGGCGCAGTAGGTAGTGCTGTCACCTCACAGCAAGAAGGTCGCTGGTTCGAACCTCGGCTCAGTTGGCGTTTCTGTGTGGAGTTTGCATGTTCTCCCTTCCTTCGTGTGGGTTGCCTCCAGGTGCTCCGGTTTCCCCCACAGTCCAAAGACATGCGGTACAGGTCAATTGGGTAGGCTTAATTGCCCGTAGTGTGTGTACATGTGTGTGTGTATATTTCCCAGAGATGGGTTGCGGCTGGAAAGGCATCCGCTGCGTAAAAACTTGCTGGATAAGTTGGAGGTTCATTCCGCTGTGGCGACCCCAGATTAATAAAGGGACTAAGCCCACAAGAAAATGAATAAATGAATAAACAATTTCATAAATTAAATACTGAGGATAATCTATCTTTATGCAGATGTATTAAAAAGGCCGTTATTGAGACACATTTGAACATTTCTACATTTATTATTATTAATATTTCAACAATAACAAAAGTTTATTTACATTTTAATACATTGCAGTCTTTTATAAAAAGCTAGTTTTGTTTTTACTCATTTGGACATTTTTGCTTTAACTGAATGAAATTTAAACAATTAGAACAATAAAAATATCCAACTCTTATTTCAACAATAATGGACTGTTCATCCTTCAGTTTCACATCAGAGATGCAAATATTGTCCATATAGAGCGTCAAAGCCTGCTGTGTAAGCAAATGAATAATAAGGATGTGCACAAACAAACAGTATATATGAATGTATTTATGTTTTACAAACAAAGAAATAAATGACAAAAGAGTAAACATCAGAAATATGAGATTAAAAAAAGGTTAATTCTAAACATAAAAATATCAGTAGCTCCTTTCACAGTTATTACTGGTCGATTGCCAGGATTAGCATTTGACCTGTTTTACTGTGTGAAAATGTAACTTATATGCAGCAGGGGCGCTCTCACTTGGTATTGGATCGGTGTCTCCAAATTTATTCTACACATCTGCCTGGAAGTTCATGTAAACCTGGGCTACGTTCCACCAAAGACTATAAAATGCACAAGACATGTCACTCTTACAGTTTTGAATGGCTGATTTCTTGTTCTGGGGCCTCATGTATGAAGACTTTCGTTAAAATCATACTAAAACATTGAGTACACACAAAGCTGAAAATGTGCGTATGCAGTAAAAAAAAAATCAGATGTATGAAACACTGCGTATGCGGAATCCCACGCATATTCTTTTTGTACATCTGAATTAACGTGAAACTGAGCGCAACATACACAAGCGCATAACCCCTTCCTGCCTCTTCCCCCATATGAATATCGTAATGACTCTAAAACCAAATGAAAAAGCAATGGCAAAAGCAAGCAAAAATAGAAACTTTGAACAGAATGTGAATTGGAGGTGCGCCTATCGGAGATAGACTGTAGAAAACTTTCGAGGTTACAGAAGTAACCCTTCGTTCCCCGAGGAGGGGAAGGGAAGTGCTATAAGTGGATTTGATCTTGGAAAATCCACGTATGGAAGGATTCGGTTCAGAAGCCGCTTGTCTGAAAAAGTATTGAACAGGCCAATGAAAGCAATGAATTGGCAGCGTAAGTTTGCGCAGGTGTGCTTCATTGCCAATTATCCCAGCATATAAGCACACCTGGACCGAGCAGACGCCATCCTTTTAAGCTGAAGAGGCTTTCTAACAGCTAAGGGAAGCGAAGTTATTTCTGTAACCTCGAACGTTCCCCTTCGGTTGGGGAACTTCAGTGCTATAAGTGGATTTGATCTTGGAAAGTCCACGTATGGGAGAACTATGGAAAATGCCATAATGACTGCACCTTACCAATGCCCCCGATGAGGGGATAGTCAAGCAAGCGTGACGCACCCACATCATGGGAGGCGCGGTCCTCCAACATGTCCCCAGCCCTAATTTATCCCACTTCAACAGAAGTTTTAAGGATTTAGATATATTTTTGGGAAGTCGTGAGCGTCTAGATAATTCTAGGAAAATACGACAGTACGTTGGGAAGCGTGCAATCCCGATAGGGAGGACGGTGTGGAGGCCATCTGCTAACCCAGGGGGGAGATAAGATGGCAGAATTTACATATGGACTAGCCCTAAGAAGGGGGAGTGCACATAGAAAAAGTGGTTAGCGGAGAGGGAAGACACGGGTCCACCCAGAGGGGGGACTTAACCGTGGCGGAATAAGCATATGGGATCGCTTAGTGGGGATCACGCATAGCAGGCACCTATACCCAAAACGCGGGCAGACCAGCTGGCAGACCAACAACGTAGTGGACCAGCAAGTGACTCCTCCGCTGAGTCAGTGCTGGGGGCCACGGAGGAATCTGCAGGGCTCACCTGACGGGGAACTTTACTGACAGATAAAAAGGCGCACGTATCTCCGTGTTAGGGAGAATGGCGCAGCAAGCGTGTTTCAACACCCTACCGAGTTGTTTCCTCAATCACCAAAGGGTTACCTAATACCCTTGAGGAAACCGGCTCCACTCGCAGATTGTAAAACCTTGCAAATGTGTTGGATGTCGCCCAGCCCGCAGCTCTACAAATGTCTTTTAGAGAGGCGCCGCATGCACGAGCCCAAGAGGATGCAACGCTCCAAGTGGAGTGTGCACACACTCCCGGGGGACACGGCTGACCTCGACTCGAATAAGCGAGTGAAATGGCATCCACAATCCAGTGGGATAATCTTTATTTCGATGAGGCACTTCCGTGCTGATGCTGCTCAGATGATCTAAAATTCTGAGTATGGTCCACATAAATGCGCAGGGCGCGAACTGGACAAAGTAAGTAAAGGGCTGAGTCTGCCTCCTCCGGGGGCAGCGCTTGCAGGTTCACTACCTGATCTCTAAAGGGGGTGGTAGGAACCTTGGGCACATAACCTGGGCGGGGTCTCAGGATAACGTGTGAGTAATCTGGAACGAATTCCAGGCACGTGTCACTGACCGAAAATGCCTCCAGGTCCCCGACCCTTTTGATGGAGGCCAACGCGACCAGCAGAGCTGTCTTCAGGGACAGAATTCTTAGAGATACTGAATCGAGTGGCTCAAAAGGATCTGTGCGCAAACTCGTGAGAACGAGGGCGAAATTCCAAAAGGGCATGAGAGGGGGGCGGGATGGATTAATTCGCCTAGCACCTCTGAGGAACTGGATGATGAGGTTGTGCTTTCCCACGGTTCCGCCAGCTACCGCGTTATGATAAATGGAGATGGCGGCCATGTAAACCTTGAGAGTGGAGGGCGACAGCCTGCTGTCCAGCTTCTCTTGGAGAAAAGAGAGCACAACACATCTGGCAATTTCGGGGGTCTTCTCTGCTCCAGCACCGAAAAAAAGAGGTGGAGAGCGAGGAACACTGCCAACAGCTCTAGGCGATTGATATGCCAATGCAACTGGGCACCCTTCCACAGGCCCGCAGCTGCATGCCCGCGACACACGGCCCTCCAACCCGTGTTGGAAGCATCTGTTGAAACAACAACATGGCTGGATGCCTGTCCTAAAGGCACACCGGCCTGTAGGAACGAGGGGTCGTTCCAAGGGCTGAGGGCGCGGCGACACAGCGCAGTGACAGAGACTCGGTGTGTGCCCACGTGCCATGCGCGTCTTGGGACTCAATTGTTTAGCCAGTGCTGGAGTGGTCTCATATGGAGCAATCCGAGCGGCATGACGGCGGCTGCGGATGCCATATGCCCCAGGAGCCTCTGAAAGAACTTCAGTGGGACCACTAGTTTGCTGTCGAGCTCTCTCAGACAGCCTAGCAACAGGCGAGCGCGTTCCCCGGAGAGGTGCGCTACCATGGTGACCGAGTCCAGCTCCATTGCAAGAGATCCTCTGCACGGGGGCGAGTTTGCTCTTTTCTCGGTTGACCTGAAGCCCCAATAGGCGGAGATGCCGAAGCACCTCGTCTCTGTGCATAATCAATTGTTCCCGTGAGTGGGCTAAAATTAGCCAGTCTTTTATTTGTGAGGAGAGCGATTCGCTCTGGCTCCGCACCCTGACTCCGGAGAGGGGGTTGGAGGGCTGAGGGAAAGGAGACCGTCCCCCCAGCGCTCGTGAGCCACTGGCGAAGCACGTAGAACCTGCGAGCCAGAAGGCAGCGTGTCCCGGACTGGCAAGGTTCATGCTGTTACATCCGGGGAAGGGGAAAAGTGCTCTTTCATTGATGTTTTGGTGGCACTGAAAAGTACCGTTGTAATCGGGCCCCGCCCTCCAGCGGGGCAAGAGCAAGTTTCCTCTTCTCCGGATGGCCTGTCTCTGCGCCTGCTTGGCCGGAGGCGCAGGAGCAGCGGAGGTAGATGGCTCGGCGGGCGGAGCGGGCTTACGGCTGCGCCGATTGATGACATTACCCATCGCATCCGACTGCTCTTTCACCGCCTTGAATTCCTGGGTGAATTCACCGACGTGTCGCCGAATAGGCCAGCCTGGGATATGGGCGAGTCAAGAAAGCGAACTTTGTCAACATTGTGCATATCAGCCAGGTTTAGCCAGAGGTGGCGTTACTGAACCACAAGTGTGGACATCGTCCTCCCCAGCGCACAAGCAACGGACTTAGTAGTCCGAAGAGCATAGTCGATCATGGTGCGCAGCTCATGTAGTAAGCCTGGGTTAGACCCGCCCTCGTGCAGCTCGGCCAACGCCAATTGCCTCTAGGAGTTGCCAATGGAAATAAAACCAACACACACAAGAAATGCATGTACGCCAGACTTGAAGTTGGTGTGGACCAACGCACATTCTCATGTTAATTTAATAGTTAGTACTTCCAAACATGTGCGTGAAATCTGGCGTACACAGCGTTGATACCAAGGTTATTATAGTTAACGAAAACTAACGAAAAAACGAAAACTAAAATGTAAAATAATTGT